CGGAGCCTGACTATGCTCCCAACCCAGTTACCTCTGGAGCCAACCAAACAGGGGTTCAGGGCTTAGGGTTTAGGGCAAAAAATCAGTGAAAACAACAAGTAAAAATCTCCTCAGATTCCTGCACGAAACTAGAAGCACGCGCGGCAGGGAATATTGGCACGCATGACCTGAGTTTAGAATAGCAGGCGCTGCATGCTGGCACTTCTATCGAAGGGTCCCGTGGAACAGAAGCATGCTAACCGTTTCAGAGCTGTTTGACACGATTCGCAAGAACAGTGCATTCCACAAAATGCTTAAAGGCAATAATTTCACGGATCTGGGTTGAGAAGTACACACATCGAATCATAGCTAGTCGCAGCATGGCTCTCGTGGATGGAGATTCGATGCTCCGGTACGTGGATGCACTCGAATGTGAACGCCATTATGCTTAACGATGCCTCATAAGCGCAGCGCATTTTTTCAATACGAGCACAAGGTGATTTTTTCCTCGTACGCCCGCGACAGCTGACAGGGCCAAGCGACAAAGCAGTTGTTGCGCACATTTACGCGCCGGCAGAGTCTAGAACAAAGGATTATGCTAACACTGACACATCCTGCCAACGCATGCAAAAAAGGGAAAAGCTTGAATTATAGGAAGACCTCAGCAGCAACGAGCAAAAGTACTCAGCAAACTTAGTTGCGCGCCACATAACCTTGCAAATTCAGGCGTCCAACATAGTAGTTAGATGTAGTTAGAGTATCGTGGGGCCCGCCCCCTCCAGCGCTGTTTTGCATGCTTTTCGCATCCAAAAAGTGCACAAGTTAACGGTATAATTACTAAACAAAACAACTTGTAGCTCACAGGATGCGAAAGCAGGCACTACTGGTTTGTCAGTTGAGCCCTGCATGAAACGGCTGATGTAGTAAAAATGTCCTGCGCAGCTGATGCCATTCTTTTCCCGTCCTTTCGGGCGTGTGAGGTGGCTCTGCCTCAGTGCCGTTGGAGCAAGCCATCCAGCGATTGTGAGACCCAAGCACTGAACGCAAGCAATAAGATGCTGATATCCTTTTCGGGGTCATAGGGCAAGTGCACGAATGATAGAACTGAGAACTGGCTGTCAGGAAGATCTTGTGCGCCGCGCTGAAGTTGCCACTTCCGCTGCAAGGTGCCCGACCAACAGTCTAAAAACTACAGGTGTCTGCAGGAAATTGCCACTGACTATCTGACTGTGGCTATCTATGGCTCCATAATTTGGGCGACTGGAGGTGAGCTCTTTGGCTTTTGGTTGTGCCATCAAACTGGCACCATCTCATATTGTTCTCTGCTGTCAGAAAAATAATTCTGTGAACAACTTGCAGGATCTAGCAGTGGTGAGCCGCTACATGCATGAGGTCATGCATGAGGTTTGCCAGGCAATCGGAAGTTCATGTCACCACTTCCACGGCACAAGCATGCCTCCCATTCACAGACGCATGCTCCACAACCTGCCCAGATGCTTTTCCTTCTCGGCTTGCTCCCTCAAAAGACGTCGGTCATGCTCTCACATAAGGGAAGCCTGATAGATCTGTATGTGAACCTGTCTTGTAATCCTATCTGGAGACGCAAGCTACTGCGTCTTCATGTAACAGGTTCGCCCATGTGAGACACAGGGGCCACGCTTTGGTTTGACCAGTGGACCCGAGGCATGTCCGTGGCTGCATGATATTCATGCGGCAGGAGCTCTTCCACCAATGCGGCACAGAATCCGTCCGGAGGAGCCATCCAACGCACTCGGCTATTCAACTGCCCCAGAGAGGTAAGAAGATGTATGGTGACAAATCACACTTTCGCAGGCAACAACAAGACAGCAAGAGTCAGTTCCAGCTGTAAACCATGCTCGTTTGGCTACCAGACTCTACAGTTGACTACCACCGAACGGCTCCATCGGTGAGGTGAGCTGAGGCGCTTGTCAGCACCAGGCAGCAATCGAGCCACTACCCGTTGTCTGAACCTTAGGATGCTGTAGCGTGACACAGGATTCTTACAGTTCTCTGCCAATGGGAGATCTGCTCTGTTCAGGACAATATACAAGTTACTATGGCGGCATGCAGACAGTCTATGTTCTGCATGAAACTCCTGCACAAGACTTTCCACGCCAAGACAAAAAGGAACGCGGTGCTGATGCTAGCAAAAGCTTTGAAGGCGTCAAATGGCGTCAACAAGGCTTGCAAGATGTCAACTGAATCAAGCTACAAAGAATCTGCTGAGACAATTACAATCCGTAGCCTCGCAAAACACCCAAGTTGCGCAAGAGGACCACTGGTTGTTGCTTGTAGGCCTCACTTCAACGACTGGGATCGGTACTAGCTGGCTTGGCCTCGCCTCGTGCATCTCGCCTGCAAGACGGCTTCACAGGCTGATTAAATCAATATAGCAGGTTAGGGCTGCTTTGTTAGAGTTATGGTCCGTTTTCAATAGTCAATCATCCAAATTGGATCATGGAAAGCGTTTAGGTCGGGGTCACCTCTAACACACCTCTGGTAGAAATGCTGGTGCCAGATTAGTACTATGCTTGCGCCACATTGGAGTGCGCAGGATGCTCTGGGTGTTCAATCTAAGATACGTGTCTTCGCGAAGTGTCTTGGAGCGCTCACCTTATGGATGGCCAAAATACATGAACACCCGACAGAACATGCTACCACCGGCAGTGCAGCACCGAGAAAGCCTTGAAATGGTCAGGCACATAATCCACTTTTAAAGGGTGAATATGGTCACATGGTCCATAGAATATAGAAGTCTGACAGGAAAGAATTCTTGCAGGCATCGCGGCATCGCGGCACTGGCTCAGAAGCCATGGATTTGCATCGAATCCGGAAAGGTCATCCGAGGTTCCGGCTCCGATGAGATGGCAGCACGAAGCTTCGCAACTTGCGCCTTCACGGATGAAAAAAACGGCCTATGCAATCTCATTTTAAAGCAGCCCACAAGCTTGCACGAGCCCCTACTATCACCTACTCCACCCAAAAAAATTCCGGCACACTTCAGTATAGCAACTTCAGACTTGGATCTCCTTCACGTTAAAGCTTGACAGGCCAGTGCACACATACAAACTCACAGGGCTTCCTTTGTGGGCAACATCAGTCACGGTTAGTCACGGTAACCTCACCAGAAATACCGATGCAAACAAGGTTTCGTAGCAGCTCGCTTCCGCGCAAACCTATGTGGAGCTTACTCGGGCGCACAAGTAAGACCAAGGCAAACAAGCTTCATGGTACTTTTGACGACTGGAACTCAACGAGAAAATTCCCGAAGCAGCTGCTGCCGCAGCCACCTCGCGATCCTCAATGTTCTTCTGAAGGCCTCAATCCAGACTTGTACTGGTCCCTGCAACATACTCGGCCATGTCAACAAAAGAGAAACGTTAATCTGGGCGACACAGTCACAATGCTCACAAGTTGTCAGGTGGTGACAGCAGTGTGACAGCAACAGGTCAATCCCATACTGGGTAATGTTAACCCCATAACCAACCACCCTCGGGGGCGGAGCCGATGCGCGTGGTCCAGCCGCCAATAGGCTAGGAAGCTTACGTGAAGGGGAGGATTGACGCTCTTCTTTGCCGCCTCCCGGACATCAGGAAGCCACGTACGACCTGAAGTCTGAAATAGTTTAATGCAGGGTTTTCCCCGGGCGCGGCCGTAGCCGCGGGCTCGAGCCCGAGGCTGCGGCGATGAAAAGAGGTTTCCAATTCCAAGCATTGTTGGACATGCAATTCACACCGCGCTGTGCGCAACATCCACAGTATCGGGAATCCTGAAGGATGAACTAAATTTTGTTGGTTCCAGGCACCGAATCCGCTGCAACCTGATGCCGGAAGCTGACTGAAAACTGAAGTCAACACCAGAACCGGTCCCACTCGGCCATGGTGAGCTGCAAGCACTTCTCAAGCCAGGAGGCTGGAAACTTCAAATGAAGGAGGTGAATACGTGCTTTTGCTGCGAAGGGACAAGAAACGCCTTCTCTGGACGCTCCATCCACAATGTTAGATTTGCTCGGCACATGCCCCCACCAAGCTCTTACACCTTGCCGCATGGCGCGCAAAACATTGGCATGGACGATGCTGCCCAAATCCAGTGACCTAAACGCCCCCAAGACGGAGCTGCACAAAACTGCCAAGGTGAAAATAAACCCAGCTCCAGGCGCAAGTTGTTACAGATTTCAATGGCATCAGAGACCCTACGTTCATCAACAAAAGGCACTTCAAGAAAGGACAGAGTTGCAGAGCCACCACTGCACACCACATCGAGAACTTTTTAAAATTCAAAAAAGGCCGAAACTGGTTTTGCTGCTTTTTGCTAGCCATCTTCTTGCCACAGTGACTATGAAAGTTGGGAGTCTAATGATTCTATTGAATCCCAGAAAGGCTGCCCCGAGTCCGAACGCAAGCCCGTCGCATTCCGCAAAAGCCAATTGTTGCTTGTCACTACTGAATATGCAGTCGACAGGTATTGCCTGCGGGGCCGCACAGGCAAATACCTGTCGATTGCAATATCAATAATGGCCATATTCCATCCGGAAAGGCAACAATTGGTCATTGTAGGCTTTCTCCAGATCGTGGGCGCTGCCTCGAACCTCCCAATCGCTGCCAGGGGCGGCCCCATGCAAAACACGGAGCCGGCGGACAGCTTCGAAGGAAGCTGAAGATGACGTTGCGCGAATGCGCTCCCAAGCTTGGAGTGTGCCAACAGTTGTTCCGTGCGCCCGTCAGCCCCGAAACTAGCTAAAGCATCAGCTGCTTGATAGTGCTCACGCAGCATATGCGACACAAGCCTGAGAGATTCAGGCGCCTGAAAATCCCGAAACTCAACTCCAGCTAGACACATGGCCAGGAGTATATCATGCGCTGCACGGACTAAGGGAAGAAGAGGCGGGGAGGTCAATTGAGCCTCACCAGCAATCCACCTAGAGACCTCAACCTTGTAAATTTGTAACGGATTAGACCACAGGGTGCCTAAGCCCTGGAGGCCCGTCACATCATGGAGGCCTAAACCTCATCGTAGACCTCAGCGATCTCTGCCAAAGCCTTGATCACTGCTACCTCCCAAGTTTCCGCCTCCCTGCGAGCGATAGCACAAGCCTCCCGAGCACTACGCCGGGCCTTGAGCGCCGCGTGATTTCGAGCTGCATGGTCCGCCGCAGCGTTGAGAGCCCGAGCCTGCATCTCGCCACACGGCGGCGGTACCCAGCTGGCCGGAGCAAGTTTGCCATGGCTGGGGACCCAGTGGAAGGATATCACGATGCGCCTTTCCCTGACGACTGCCAAATGGTCAAGGATTTCCTGGACAAGTTTGCGCGCACGGCCATTTCCCCTAGTTGCCGAAATCGCGGCGGCGCAGTCAGCAATCACTACAACTCTCCCAGATACGTTGCAAGAACGGAGCGCCGTGAGCGAACGACGGATCCCTTCAAGCTCAGCACGATACGGAGGCTGGTCCTCGCCAATCACGCCTGAAGCATGTTCCATTCCATCTGCGACGACAACCGACCAAGCCGCCACCTCAACCACGGTACTACCATGGGTGCCCACATAGGCAAAGCCACTTTCACGTAGCTGACGCTCAATGTCGCGGGCTATGTTCAGGAGCACCTCGTCATCATCAAACACACACGGCGGAGCAGGAAATCTTGGCGAGCATTCGTTCTTCGGGACGATTAATGAGCGCACGGCACGCAGTTCTCAGATGAGCCGTGCCAGGGCACTGCCAAAGCAAATGAGGCTCGGAAACTTGGCCCTATACATGCAGGCCTGTATGGCATCAACCTGCACCCCACGTTTCTTGGCGTTTGCCCATACTGAGCATCCCGTCGCCAAAGCAGAATTGCGGAGATAGCGACTCCCGGCACCTGAGAAAATCTTCCGGTGACCAGAGTACACACACAGGGAATTCGGAGGAACTCCCGGCAAAGCAGCACCCTGCGCAAGATTCACTTGGTCCTCTCGCCTGCGCAAAGAGCATCGCAATCGTCGCACACGTAAAGCGTTGTTCAGAATAGCCCTGCGACGCCAGTCGATCAACCACTCATTATATAGGATGCTCTTGGAACCGAAGCCCAAATGAAATGACCTGACGCAGCCTCTCTCATCCAGCCTACGTACGATGGCACCACGCTCTACACACCACCACCCCAACTCGCGAATCACAGCCACCGCCACCAGCGTCAGGTCTGGCCACCTACGTGCAGCAAACCGGATCGAGGCGTCCTCAACCCAACATGGAGGCCTGTTTTCCAAAGAAATGGCAGCTCGAAGCGCCGCCCAAAGCCGCATGACAGCAGGATCACAGTCCCGTCCGAGGACTTCAAAAAGGGTTGCACTATAGGGGTGTCACACGCCAACCTGTTGTTAGCCATAGCAGCAACTGCATTACGTAGTTGCGTCACCTGGTTGGGCTCAATGCTCGCCATAGCCCCAGCCCAAGACATCAAAGGCAACACCAGGGCCCGAACCACAGCTGCCTGGCGTGGCAAGAAGTCTGAAACCGCACGTATGCACAACAACCGAGCATTGGCCTTGTCAAAGGTGTATCGCGACAGACGTGGAAGGCTCCTGCCACGCAAATCAAAGGCCACGCCCAAGGTTTCTAGCTCGTTTTTGCGGGAAGCCACATGACACTTAGCCACATCGCAACGAAAATTGAACGTCCGATCGAAGAGGTCACTCTGAACCTTGGCAACTTGAAGATGCGTCTCTGAAGAGCTCCAAAACGCCCTGTCGTCCACGAAGGACATGGCCTCGATCAGCCTCTGACTTAACAACAGTCCAGGACCAAACAACCATCACGGCGGCCAGCAAAGTTGATAGAGGGTCGCCTTGCGCCAGGCCACGTGTAACCTGATGCTACTTGGCCCCCAGACGTCCCCCCATCGAAAACACACGCCGATGATCATGAAGCATGGCTCGCACAAAGTCACGCAGACACACAGGTGCAGCAAGGTGCTCTAAAAGCAGCAACAAGTGGCCCCCATGAATGCTGGCGAAAAACTTCGTAACATCCTGGCTGACATAAACGTTGTAATCCGCATCCATGGCCTCGACCAGTCGAAGAAAAGCATCCCTGGTGGAGCGACGGTGGACACCTCCAAGCGCGCGATGCCCCAACCAATTGTCAGCCCATGACAGGAGCTCACGAACCAGTACGCTAGCACCCAAGCGATAAGCCACACTCATGGCTGAGATTGCCCTGTAGACCCCTGTCGGTTTAGCCACCAATGCCACACGTGCCTCCTCCACCTTTCAGGAATGACAGCACCAAGACGACCTGCCACAGATCACTCCTGGCAAAGCCAGAAAATGTCAGCCGCAGATTGACGCTGCAAAGAGCCAAGCAGCTCCCGCACAGGCCCCGCCTCGACCCCCACGTTGGTCCACAATGGCATCCACGCCTCCTCCGCCTGTTTGATCATCTCCACGGGGCGCACGGCCGTTCTGTGGAGGACCTCCAAATCAGAAGCTCTGGGAGTTGCAAGCCCACCCCGAAGCGAAGCCCATTGCTTGACCCACCGAGTCTGTTTCCTGAAGTGATCAGCACCCCACGCCGATCCCCATGAAGCAAGGTTCACCAGGTCGTCGCGAGGCCCGTAGGCTCAGTGAAATCAAACTCATATCGCACACCTCAGCGATTCACAATGCCCTGGCAATGGCTCACAGCAAGCGGGAATAGCTGGCCAGCGCCCAGCCCATTATCGAAGCGCCTTCGTCCCCTGGCTGTGGCAGGCAAGGGCCCCTCCGCCATGAATGGCAAATCCAAAAGATGGCACAATCCCGCTGCCAACTTCTGCGCCATTGGTCCCTCATCCAAGGTAATGTTGCAATCACCCAAGATAACGAACCAACCACCTCCTCGATGAAGTCGGCCGCAGCTTCAAGGTCCGCTGCATAGGAGGATAGAGAAACCACAACGACTTCGAATTCCTGTACCAGAATCAAACTCAAACAGCACAGCAGTGTAGCGTGAGTGGACCCGAACACGCGGTAGTCGCAAGAGAGAGCCCTCACAAGTGGCGAGAAGCGCCGTTCTATACACACCTCCTGCTGGCTGTGACACAAAAATGCGTGTAAACCACGATTACGCCAAGCAGCAATCCATGAGGGGCCGCTCGCACTGTTGATGCCCACCTCCTGCTAACAAAGAATCTGAAAGGGGAAATCCTCAAAGGCCGTCTCAGTCGGGGCAATGGTTGTAAGAGAGCCCTCATGTCGGGCCCTTTTTAGCCTTGACTTGGCCTTGGCCTGTCGGATCTCAAAGTCCCCCAAGGTAAACGAATGCCGCCTAGTTCCAGCCAGTGCCACAGTAGCGCATTTCACACCCGGTACCCCTCAAGCTCGTGGCCATCCATAGTCATGGGCACAAAGTCCCGAAAATCCTCCCTAAGTGCACGAAACTGCCAATCCACATCCTGCTTTTGCTTCACCTTTGCAGCCACGTCGATGTTGGAGAAGCCCACTGAGGACAGAAGCTCAGAGATCTCCTCGATGTGCCAGTCACGTGGAAAGGGCCCGGCCTGCCACAGCATCACCTCAGGGACATTGCGTGGATCGAACGCCGAGGTTCTTCAGCCCAATCTGCAAACCCAGAGGTCCCATCTGGGGCGCCAACCGTTGAAGCTGCATCATGTGTGTCTCGCCCGCTGGAGCCGACCCTAAAGGACCACTGGATCCTCAGCCTCCAAAGCCAAATCACGCCAACGCAAGGAGGTAAAAGTCCAAGTCAAACCATCATGGATCTCACCGCCTTGCACGAGTAAAACTTCGATTCTTGCGCACCCGCTTCCAAGCCTCCGCATTGACGTAGCGCAAAGAAAAGTAACAGCGCAAAGTACCGTGGTCGCATAGCTGCTCTTGGAGGGCAGTTTAGCTTCCATGAAATCCACCTCATCGCTCAAGGGAACTGAGACCTGATCACCATCAAAACCCACAACCCATACTTGACGGAGTCGGGGTTACCCTGAAGGACTCCAGGGAGTGATTTGGCCTGCACTGCACGCTGCTGCTGTATGCTGTCCAGCGTGCTGCTCTCTGAGTCCCTTGCCACACAGACCTTCCCCGAAGGAGATTCATGGACAGGGTTATCCGCATCGATGTTTACCTCAATGCGAAATGAGCCATAAGGAGTGGGTCCAGGATTCTTTGCCTCACCTACCCGCTGTCCCAAAAGCGGTTCCAATCTTCATCGCGAGCCTGCATGAGAGCTCGCCTACTTACATGTTGAGAAGCCGGCGCCCTCAGGGAGAGGGTCCGCAGACGCCGTGCTGGGTTGGCGCAAGGCGCCACGAGTAGGACGAAGGTCAGGGTCAGGAACAGGCACGCGTAACGCGGCAAGAACCAGAGCAACAAACTGAGGCACCAAAGAGCGCCAGGCCTGGCGGTCAGCTGCGCGCGCAACCCAGTTCACGTCAGGCAGGAAAAGCGGCAGAGGCCCTTTATCATAGCGGTGGCTGATGTCAAAGCCCTCTTCGACAGTTTGCAACGTCGTGTGCTTTACGAAGCCCTTGCTGCCTCCGGGGCTCCTCTTCCTTTGCGGTAGCCCTGCTCCGTGAGATCGTGCGCAACAGGGTCTCCCTTGCCTCTTTGGGCGGCCATTTTGCTGACGCGTGGCTCATGCGTGGACACCCCTGAGTGGCTACCCGCTCGTGGCCTCTTGGCGCACAGATGGCCTCGGGGTTCACCTCCTAGGCGGCGGTGAATGTTCCTTGCACTCTTGCTGACAGACGATTGCAACTTTGCTGCCAATGACTGGGCTTCCATCCGGCGCACGCTCGCTGATGCTTCTACGGCCATTGAGACAGGCAGCTTGCAATGGAAACCTGACTCGTGCATCATTCTTGCAAACAAGTGGGCTCGCCAGCCCCCTGACGCTCCATCTACTCATCTTTCAGTCAACTCCCCTGCTGGCCGCCCCTACACCTTTCATCTGCGCGCCAGTCATATTCTGACGGGCGCGCAGCTAAGCATGGGGCGCCTGCGCGACGAACTCTTCCGCCCCCTGGTCTAAGGCTGACCTGCGCTTTGGCGATCGTCGCCGGCAGCTCCCACGCCGCAAATGCTCTGCGCGCGCACGTGTTGTCAGACCTTCTCTCGGACTTCTGTTGCTTGGAGTTTGCACCCTGCCTTGCTTTCCCAGCACGGCAGCCCAAGTGATAAATGACCTGGCAGGTTGTGGCAACAACCTCCACATCAGAGGGGCGAGAGAGGACAGAGTGAATCTGAGCCTTACGAGTAGGGCGGCGGGATACGGGCGGTGAGTCCACTCAGGAGAGAGGTTGTCACTGCTGAGAAAAGTGTTGACGGCACAAATGTGGGAAGCAGTGAGAAAGCTGAGAAAGGCTTGGCGGTGCAGGTGGAGACCTGCATTGACACCGTTGTAAGCACGGCGCCGACATCCTCAGGGCACAAGGACAAGCTGGCATCCAAACCCAACCAAACATGTTGCGTGTTCGGCGCAGCACGAAGCAGAAGGGGCAAGTTCTCCAAAGCAGCTTCATAAGCATCATTACCATGGCTGCTGCGCGGGAGGTACGCGGAAGCAAAAAGGTGCAGTTTGCCATCGAGGCGGCAAGCCACTGCAGAGCAGCAAGACCCAGCCCCACACCTAGTCCAGTTACTAGCAAGATCACTGCGCACCAACAATGCTGCAGTGGACTGAGACGATCATATTTGTAAATGTGGGCAAGCTGCCTCTTGCAACCTGTCCAAACTCAGAGCCGCAACCTCTTGTTGAGCAACAACTTTCCAGTTGCCAAAGTGAGGCGCAAGGCACATCACACAAGTGTTCAAGGACACGACGGACAGCTTATTCACATTCCACGGAACAAAATTTGCATGAGATGACATTTGAGCCGAGCGCCTCCACTACTCAGCAAGCAAAGCTTCACAGTTGAAGTCAGGCACCACGCGCTTAATGAGATCCATCTCCCAAACCCAGGCTCCACCACGCGTAGGTGTTCCTGCTATCACTCTGGTAGATTCATCCCCGCGCTTCTGAACATACAATTTGCCACTGGCCCAGCAAGGAAGGATCTCAAACGGGCTGTCTTCATTGACGTTGGCACGCGGAATTTGCTGGTGCGCGGCCGCGAGTTTACTTGCAAACTGTTGATCGCGCAAGCGCTTACCTGGAGTGGGAGTCACATTGCACCTGAGAGGACGCCCTTCCACGATAAACAGATGAGCCTTTTTGACGAGGGCCTGGCTAAGAGCATCTTTAATGGCAAAACAGGTATCCCTACCAGCGGCCACAATCCGCAGCTCAAAGTTCGCAACACAATTGGCAATGACTCCTTAGGCAGAAAGACCTGACATGCTCCGGCAGCAACGCTTTGAAACGCTGGCACAAGTCCAAACATTTCTCTTGCGTGAGACGCCGCCTGCGCGAATCCCCATAGGGAGCCCACCCCTTAACATGAACCTAGTTCTGAAAAGCGCTGTTATCCTGGGCCACTGGCATCTGTGCGGTGGGGCATCTGACAGGCATTGCAGTAATAGCAGCAGGCGGTGGTGCATTTGCAGCTGAACCGCTGGATGTCAAACCTTCAAGAGCCTTCTGACCATGCTTGAGTGAATCTAATTCAGCTGGGTGGTCTTGCCGCACCTGCTCGAAATCAGCTTTCACCTCGTGGACAGCATGCAACGCGGGAGACACTTCCACTTGTGGATAAATGTTTTGAGGTCATCTCGGATTGCCTCCCCAAGAGCTTCCTTGGCAACAATCCGAATCTCTTCACGCATAACTTTGAGCAGCTGTGGGTCCAACCTTGAAGGAACCCTGGCAGCACACTTCTTGATAGGAGCACCACTTTGATCAAAAGCAGAAAACACGTGAGGATTTTTCATGGCAGCAAAAGGGTACTAGAGATTTCCTAACGGAAGATGAGGAGCCCAAAAACTTGAGCCCACAGAACCGCATCATCGGCTCGGCGTCAATGGGCTGCTTCAGAATGAAGGACAGTCTATACGCTTCGTGGCATTGAGCACGGCCGAAACATGACCTAGGCCAACGCACAGATTGAACACAACAGCATCTGAAGGGAGCTCAAGAGTCTACAGTAGACGGCAAGCACGGCTAACGGCTACACTTGTAATCTTTTACGAACAGGCCAGGGCGCTCGTCCGCTGCAGCGAAAAACCGATTAGCGTGAAACTTTCTATTTTCATTCCTTGGTTTACTGCTT